CTCAAACTGATAAAATCAGCTCGTCTAGAAAGAAAACATTACGTCATGTATATCATCAATAGATCATGAACATAGAACTTAGGCGATAAACTGCCAGACAGTTCAGCTGTGAGACATTTATTTTCACTTAACGTTACAGAGACTTCATTATCTTTCGATAAGAAGTTCTAGTTATGGTAAATAAAGAATGATTCCTGCTTTTTCATGAGCTTAATACTATAACTGGCAAAATTAAAAAGCTTTATTCTTAAAGGCTACTATAAAAAGATTAACACATCTTTTGAAGTAATATAAAATAACTTTCTTAATATTCCCACTTATATGGCTGCAAACAACAAATCTGGCTTGCCTAATTCTTTTATAAGAAACGTCAATTAACAAAAAAACTTTTATCAACAAAACTCTTTTTAGCTGTTAAAGCTGATATTTAGACAGAATTATATGTAATGAAAGTGAAACAAGTTACACTGAAACTTTCTTTAGACAGATGGCATCGTACGTGCACATAATATGTGAACATGAATATTGTTTTTTTATCACTTATTTGTAATGATAAAATAATAAATAAATAACACAGCGTTAAAATTGATAGACAATTGAAACATTTTTAATTCAGTTCAGTCTATGGCCTCCAAAATGTTGACTCTACATGTTTCGATGTTTTTTGTGTCACCATCAAGAGTGAACTTGCAAGACATAAGCATCATATTTATTCCTTCTTAACTAGGTCATATGACCTGTGTGTAGGTTTACTATTTCTGCGTAATTATTAGAGGAAGTTCAGCCACATACTTACATAAATATTCGCCGGACCTTCATTTGTATTCAATAATTCATGATCGTTTTCAAACTTAATTAATTCTAAGGATTCACGGATATTATTGGCTCTAACACTCTTTGTTTGAGTCAATATTACTGTTGATTTTTCTAATGATATCTTATGTTATGTTTTTTGTACATATTCTGCTATGGTCGAGTTTTCAATCCTTTCATTTTTTTACACATCCCTAATATCCTGCTAAACGATATTTTAAATTTATTTTTGTCTGTCCAATATATGTACTTACACATTCACATTCATTATCTTTAGTATTGCCCAACATCTGTTTTATCTTATTTATCGTTTTGAGCATAGAGCAAAATATTTGTTGTTTTTAAACACTTTGAATAAACTAGTGGTTAAACCTAGAACTTCTGGCAAAACTAAACATTCCTTTTGCATTTTTTTCATAACTGGGTTTTAAGGTAATACCTTGTTGATCGGTTATTACCACATTAGTGAATTTTATTGATCCAAAGTTTTTACTTTAGGAACCTTAGAGGAGTTTACTAAGTGTTCCCACGAAAACATTTTAAGACATATAACGTTTTATTTTAGTACGTTTACCACCATTTTCCTTGACGTATTAAGTATTGAGTAACTGTCTTAAACTAGTGTTTAATTACAAAGCTTGTTCCTTAGTTTAATGGATTTAGTTTTTCAAATTATCTTAAGTTATTTTATCGAAAATGTACTATTAGTTTAATTTTTAAGTAAAAAGTATAAAATAATTTATAAAATATAAATGTAATGTCCTCAGTACCATTAGAAAAGCAATAGTACGTTCTGGTAAGCTATTCAATTTGCTGAGAAACATCCATATCACATACTATATAAAGTTGTTTAAGATTCTAACTGTACTCACACTTTAGATCAGGATACAGCAATAAAACACCTTCCACTGACGCTCTTCTCTTATCAATTTGGGTTCATTAGCTTGTTCTTACGATTTTTATGAAATTTTTATAGATAATGTTTCTATTCTGGTTTTTCAGTTTATTTGGTTCTTGAACGATTTCTGTCTTGGTATTTTTAATTACATTTACATTTTGATAATTGATGCTTCATAGGGCTTTGTAACAGTAAAAAGGGAAAAATATATTTTGATTTAAATGTGAATTTTTGGATATTTATTTAATATTTGACATGCATCATAAATAAACAGTTTTAAGAGAGTACTGTCTAGTGCCTTCATGTCATTCGAATACAAGGTACACTGCAAGAAATTTCTAGGCATAATATTTTCATAAACTCCTTCTGATGAAAGTTCATTTAATAATTTTGTAGTTCCCACCCCAACACACACAGAAACTTCCTAACTTGCAGAATCTAAGTAGACTTGAGATATTAGACATATATAACTATTGAATATAATTGTTTGAAAAAACCTGCAAAACAACTGACAGCATATAATTATATATCAAAAATTAAAGACATATATCTGGATGTACAATAACAAAAAAATTAAAAAGAAACATACAAAAACAAATAATAGATAATTATTAAACAATATCCATAAAACAAATGAAATTGAAAGAAGGAAACAAGTTTCAAAATAATCATAACATAAGAAGAAACTGTGCCACAACCCTAATACTAAAAATACAACACAAGACTATAAACCCAAACTACAAATGAACAAAACAGGAAATTTTTATAGTTACACAGTGCCAACTAAATAAAAAAAAATAAAGCTCTTACAACAATTACAGCATAAGGAGAAATGCTTCGTAATATGAAAGTTTTGTCTAAGAATAGACTAACAGATTCTACTCACAAATGAACAACTTAATCCTTCATCTTCAACTTCTGGAAAGTGTTTAAATTGCCTTGGCAAAATTACATCTTGCTGGGTTTACAATTACTGTGAGAGAAATCTGATGCACTGTATTTTACAAATCGTTTGCAAGCTTCATTAACTTTCGAAATTTTCAATTGCTTGTTTTATAATTACTGAATATGAGTGTGTGTGACGGATAACGAGCAGATGCTGGTTTCTGAAAATAATAGTCATACATTTTAACAAAACTCGATGACGAGGAACCCACTTTGAGACTAATAATGGCTGGAGACGGCTTGAATGGGTAATGAAGAAAACTTTAATATAACAGCAAATGTACAACGTTTCGACAAGGTTTTGTCATCATCAAATACAAGTAATTTACACTGACACGGATATGTATATATATACAGTATTGAACAAAGAAGTCACATGACCGGAACTGTTGCAAAACTTAGAAGAGGTATCTAGGCACCCCGGGGCGATCTTAATTGAACAAAACAACCCTACTCTAAACCAACATGGATTCCTTGATTTTTGTTTGTTTATGTTGAGTTCTTTGTTTAAAATGACTGTGTTTTTAATAGATATAATATGGTGTTTTTAGTTGGAATGGTGAAAAACATGGGACGGTTTTTTATTGTGTTCTGTCAATCTGGTTTCCAATTTTCTTCCTGTTTCTTTGATGTAGAATTCTGGGCAGTTATTGCGTGTTATTTTGTAAATGATGTTGGTATTGTGTGATTCTAAATAATTTTTGTTTAGTAACGATTTTAATTTAGGGCCAGATTTTTGTGAGAATTTGACGTTGACAGGTATATTGTGTTTAATGGTTAGTTTTGTCCAAGTGTGGATAATTCGTGAGCTGGTTTCAGAAACAAAAGGTAAACTGCAGTGTAATGTACTGTTGTTGGGTTTGTTAGTGTCAATTTTGTTCGTGAGTTGAGTTTTACTGTGGGGAATGTTGGAGAGATTTTCAACTACAGCTGGTGGGAATTTATGTGTGAATAAAGGAATGCTTTTTGTGGTTAATTTCTTTATTTATGTAGTCTGTTGAACAGAGTCTTGTGGCTGTGTTTATGAGGTTTTTAAGTGTATTGATTTTTTGTGTGGTGTCATGAGCGTAATTCCAGGGGATGTAGAGACCAGTGTGTGTGTGTTTTTGCAGTGAATTTTGGTTTTAAACTGTGTGTCCGATCTAATAATTTTGAGGTTAAGAAAGGATAACTGTTTGTTGTTTTCATGTTCTATGGGATGAATGGAATTTATGTGTTTAAAGAAAGTTAGTGTGTGTTCTGTAGAAGTGAAGCCAGCAAAAGTGTCATCGACATATCTGTACCAGTATAGTGGGGGATGAAGCGCAGAATGTATGGCTTGTGTTTCGATCTAGGTCATGAATATATTGGCAAGAACGGGCAAAACAGGATTGCCCATACTTAAACCATCTATTTGAAGGAAATGTTCATTGTTGAAAATGAAGTTGGTTTTAGCTGTTGTAAATTCTAAGAGAGTAAAAAGTGTACTGGGAATGTGCATTAAACTTACTTAAACCGTCTATTTGAAGGAAATGTTCATTTTTGAAAATGAAGTTGGTTTTAGTTGTTGTAAATTCTAAGAGAGTAAAAAGTGTACTGGGAATGTGCATTAAAAAATTAAAATAAATCTAAATTACCCTTTTTTCTTTCTAGAATGACTTCAAATTGTAACATGAAACTACATTCATTTATCCTAGTTAGTTTTAAACTCATAACAGTATACATCTATTTATAATTAAATTTTATTGTTTTATTGACTTTTGAACTGTGTCTAACTATTATTCGTGCCATTATAAATTGTAAATCACTTTGGGAATGTGGAGGTCACGTTATGCTATTGAATCACATTACCCACGAGCTGCTTACGTGCATGCTTTGTGAAACATTTTTATTGCATTATTATTATTATTTATTTTACCCTAACACTATACAAGGTTGGTTGGAACCAGGGATAAACTAACCAATCACAGGATACCATAAAAGACCTGCAACAGCTTACATACACTAATCTGAAGATGAAAGAGTCAGAAAGGTGGAAGTCTTTTGAAATGTCATCCTCTACATCTTGTTATAAAATAGGCATTTGTCATTCATTCCAATATACTGGTTTATTGTGTTATAAGAATAATAGTGTGTTAGTTCACACACATAGCAAGTGTGTATCTTTACCATATTCATACATCAAGGTAAAAAGGTGTCTTACCAGAAAGTGGTTAGTAGTACAGCAGTGTATTAGTGTTTTGAATTATCCAAAAATAGAGAATATTTTGCTAATTATTGTACTTTCAGGATAGCTTTGAATTTTTGAGAAATGTAGTTTTTTGTATCTTCAGTCCAAACCACAAAATATCTTCTTACCTTTTAGGAGGAAGAACTTTGCATGATTCAAGAGATTACCCATGTCCAGGAGGTACTGGAGACCCTCTTAAAGAATTCTTCTGACCCCTACAACTTACCACAAGCCAGTGAACAGGTGATTAATGATGTCAAGGGATCTGAAGGCACTTGGAGTTTCCAGGTATAGTTCTTGCTATCTGCAACAATATTATTATTTTTTTTAGATCCAGCCAGGGGCTACTTTTGATTTCTTTTAAACAATATTTCATACTCTGTTAACCTTTAGAACAGTTTTATTTCCAACATTTATGTATATTCGTGATAGACATCAGTTTAGACAGCAGCATTTTGTAATATTTTGAAAAATATTCTTATAAAAGTACAATAAAATTAAACTTCAGTCTTAAAAAATTTACAAGGATGTTTCAAACAAAACATTGTACTTCTACATAGTTATCTACTTCACAAAGCATCTGTTAACCTCCATCTTCCATTTTACTCTATTGTTACATCATACATTCATTGTTCACAAGGGTCCACTCAATCGTTAAACAGCTTCCCTATAACACATGCAATGAAGCATTTGTTTTGAATATATATTATTTTAAAACAAGTGGATTGTGTGCTGTCTGTGTATTGTTAAAATTTATCACCAACAACTCAGAGACACCTACTGTAAAGAATTTGGTCCACATAAAACTGACATTGGTGAGCCAGCCAGGAGTAAATAGTGATGAAAGAAGACATAAACAACAGTGGAAATAAGTAGGCCTATATATGCACAACGGTAGTGGTGGCAAAAATATTGAAGTTTACAATCATACTTTTTTAACCATGTCAACAGATATTGATAAATGGATAGAAAAAGGTGAGCATCTTGGGTTCAAAGATGGTGAACTATGAGAGTTTGTTAAACAACAACATGAACTAGAGAGAAAAGCATAGGCAGAGAAGAGAGGAAGAAAGACAAAAAGGAGAGAGAGGAGAGACTGCAAATAGAGAGAATAAGAATACAAATTGAGAAAGAAGAAAACAGAGAGAGGAGAAACTAGAAATGGAGAGAATAAGAGTACAAATTGAGATTGCTAAGCTCACCCAACAGAAAGAAGGACCCAAAAATGTCAATGCGGTCAGGGCCAGCCAACCCAAGCTGCCCAAAGTTGATGAACAGAAAACAACACGGATGCTTTCTTGGAGAGATGAAAAATTTGCCCATAGTCAAAACTGGGACAAAGATGACTGAGCAGTCTGGCTCAACCCCTTCTCACAGAAAAAAGCCTACAAGTATGAGTAGGCATGACGTCTGAAGATAAATATAGCTTTGCTGAAATGCTATGTATTTAATGAAGAAGGTTTTTTGTCAGAAGTTCAGAGAAGTCAAACCTGACACTGGAGAATCTGTATTTCAGTTTGTGTCACATCTATGGCAATACTTCACAAGATGGACTGATATCACCAAGTGTGAAAATAGTTTTGAGGGACTGGCAAATCTACTAATACATGAGCAGTTCATGATCACAAGCTAAACTGACATGTCACTGTTTTTAAAGTAGAGAGCACCAAAAGATATGGAGGAGATGATCAAGCTGACAGAGCACTATATGGAAACTATATGGAGGGAGTATAACTGGCAAGTCCAAGAATATCCATTTAAAGTAGAAACCAGTGGTAGCTGACCAGAAGCAGGAGTTTACCAAAGGTGACAGGAGGTTCACAGACAAATGGGAGAAGATATGCCATATTTCTTATACAATAGGGCATAATGCATTAAGTGCAAGTCTGTCACCAACAAGCAACATAATAATTGTCAACATAAAGCAGCTGGAGTTACCTACGAAGATGGTGCTGGCAAGAAACAATAAAATAGTGACTATCATCATGGATGCTGCTGCCAGAAGAAATAGAATAGAAACATCATGTCAGATTCACCAAAAGAAGGAAGTACTATCTCTGTGATTAAACAGTGCACGAATGATGGTCAGCTCAAATTATCAAATGGGTAAACAGTGCCAGTGGTGATTAGAGCATGTGAAAAACATCTAGAGTTGCCAACAAATCACAATATGCCAGTAGGTGAAGGCTATGTTGGGAACAAGAAAGTGAAGGTACTATGAGACACTGTATGAAGTAGTGAGAACCAGTCATGTATTTGATGGTCACATGACAAGCAAGGTACATCTTTGTGTGCTGATGATGGAATGGTGAGAAAGTTTCTTATAGTAAGAATAAAAGTGACACTCCATACTATCTGGGAGACCTTGAGGCCATGTATATAAAGACACCCATCTATGAAGTTAGAGGAACCAGACAGAAAAGAGACTGATGAGGCATTTGCAGTCACCACAAGAGCTCAAGAGAAGAAGAGCAAACAAGACATCATGTCTTTAAAAGTGACATCCCGAATGTAAGTCTACAGGAACTGAAGGAAGCACATAAGAACGATCCTTCATTACAGAAACTTTGGGATAGTGCCCTGGAGAATGTTGAGCACAAGACAAAGGGGAAAGGGACTTACAGAATAGAGGACCAGAAGAAGGTGCTATACCGGATCTATCAAGGCAGTTATACTGGGGAAGTTAAACAGGTCATAATACCAACAGAATACCAGACTCAAGTGATGAAGTTGGCTCATGAATCAATTGTAAGAGGACACCTAGGAACAAAGAAAACAGCAGACAGAATCACCAGTAACTTTCATTGGTCGGGTGTCATCGGAGATGTGAGTAGATTTTGCAGGTCATGTTGCCAAAGGACAATACTTAGAGGGAAGGTAGCCAAGGTGCCATTGGGAGAGATGCCTCTCATGGAAGAGCCACTCAGCATAGTAGCTGTAGATTTGATTGGACCACTAGCGCCTGTTTCTAACAAGGGCAACTGATATGTGCTGACAGTAGTCAACTATGCAACACATTATCCAGAAGCAATAGCATTGGCAAAGATAGAAACAGAGAGAGTAACAGAATCCCTCCTGCAGGTATTTTGCAGAGTAGGCTTTTCATTGAGAGAAATCCTGAGTGACAGAGGGACCCAGTTTACTTCAGAACTGATGCAGAAAGCACGCAGTCTCATCAGTACTCAGCAGCTCTTTACCACCATGTACAATCCGAGATGTAATAAACTTTTTAAAAGAGTCAATAGAGTTTCAAAGAGCATGCTGAAAAAGATGTGCCAAGAGAGACCACATGGCTTGGGCAGGTACCTGCAAGCAGTATTATTTGCTTATCGAGAAGTCCCATAAGCAAGTTACTGTATGGAAGAACAGTACAAAGTTGAATGCAGATATTGAAAGAGCTATAGACAGGAGAAGAAGAGTCAGAAGTGAGGAACACATACCAGTACTTGTTAGATCTCAGAAACTGACTGGAGGAGATTTGTCAACTCGCTTGAGAGATCCTATATGCAGCTCACAGCAGTCAGAAGCACTTCTACGACAAGAACGCCAAGGATCAATGTTTCAAGGTCAGACAGAAGGTCTTAGTTCTGCTACCCACAGACAACAACAAACTCACTTTGCAGTGGAAAGTACCTTTTGAAGTACAGGAAGACCATGATCTACCATGCCAATACATTGAAGAGATACTTTAAGAGGGAATAAGACATAACGGATACAGCTATTGAGGCACAGATAGATGTTGCAGGTGTGGCTGTCATAGATGCAGGACCAGAAGATGGTGACTGTCATAAAAGATGAAGACCTACTAGACTTAACACCACTGGGTGGAGATGAAACATACTAAGACGTCAACATCATTGAAGAACTGACTGGCAAGCAGAAGAAAGAGCTACTAGATCTACTGTGCCAGGATACAGGTGTCTTCACAGATAGACCAGGCAAGACAAACCTTGTGCAACACAAGATCGAGACCACGACCAGGGATCCAGTCAGATGCCCTATGCAATGAGAGACATGATAAAGCAAGAAGTTGAGGCAATGTTAGAAGCTGGAATCATAGAGCTTTCAAATTCAGCCTACTGTTCACCAGTGGTAATCGTGAAGAAGAGGGACAGATCAAACTGTTTCTGCATAGACTTCTGGAAATTGAACCTCATAAAAAAGTTTGACTCTGAACATATGGGCAACACAAAGGTTATCATAGCAAAACCAGATGGAGCCAAGCTATTATCAAAGATCAACCTCAGTAAAGGTTATAAGATATAAAGAAAAGACAGCCTTTGTGACACCAGATGGATGTCACCAGATTAAGAGGATGTCCTGGGTTCGTCAACTCAGCAGCAACATTCAACCACATGATGAGGAAGATGTTGCACAACACCACCAACATCGAGCATTATGTGGAAGGCATTCTGACACACACAGCCAGATGGAAAGACCTTCTGGAGAAACTTAGATGTTCAGATGAGTGAGTGCTGCAGGTCTGACCATCAGACCATCTAGATGCTACATCGGTTATCCTGTACTGGAGTTTGTGGACACAAGGAGGTCGACCAAAAGATAGCCATGAAACAGGAAAAGCTGACCCGCATACAAGATGTACCAGCTCCGACAACAAAGCAGAAAGTCAGATCCTTCTGGGGTTAGCAGGATACTAGAGTAAGTTCATCCCAAACTATGCTGAGGCTGCTGCACCACTGATATACTTTATTTCATGTCATTAGTTTTTCATCTTATTTTGCCAGATTTGCTGTTGGACAAGCTGAATACCTTGTTTGAATAGAACATTTTCTTCTGTTTTTTATCTTTCTGTCCAAGTGACTTTTTTCCAGCAATGGTGTCATTAATCTCATATCCAGAAATGGTTTGTTTTTGTTTCTCCATTTGGCAAGTTTCTTTATAACTCTGACCACCAGCATAGGTACACACACACCTAAAGTTATTTCATGTCATAAGTGTACCATGTTATTATTTAAAAGGAATGATAGTTCACTTATGCTATTATCTAATGTTTTTGTAGATAACAGAAATATAAGTTAAGTACAAAATGTATCAGTATTATCCATGTGCATCTGCTTGATATGTTGGTAATAGGAGATTTATAATTTATTGGCTAGATTTTACAGCAAGTACATTTTTTTTTTCAGTTTTTTTTTAACTTTAAGATTTTGTTATTTATCAGGAGTTGTTTAATTCTTATCATGTTAGGCAATGAAAACTGTCTTAAACAAACCATTACCAAACTGGTATTGTAGCTTGTTAATAAAAGTTGGCTTTTACCATTGACT